CAAAGAACCCAAGAAGGGCTCCCACAGGACATACAGAACATCCCACAGCAGTCTGCAATTCACTTTTTGTTTACTTAAATATTATTAAGTCCTTCTGGGGCCTTTGATGGAGTTGAAGACTCAATAGTTATACTTGCAGTTTTCCTTAGTTATGATAGAAAGTAACGCATGTGTAAAACTTTGGATTCACTAAGATGGAATAGATTATGGAGTATTTTCTTTAAATCTACCAGACACAAATGAATTGGAATTCAGTACATTGTGAATGTAATCTTTACTTGATAATTGTTCTTATTGTATGCAGTCTTACCATGTTAAAGTTAAAAGCTTTCATTTTTTAAAATAAAGGAGGGAAATGTTGGAGAATATTATTTTAAAGTGTATTGCATTTTTTTCCTACTGCTTTTGTCAACAATTCAAAGATGTGTTTGATTAAATAAAATTGACCTGTGAGCAGGAGGCGGAGTCAGCAAGTAGCTGACAGGAAGCGGTAAGGAGGAACCACGTGTAGCAAGGGTTTTTTAAGTGGGGACTGAGAGAAAGATGCTAGGATTTTGGAAAACACAAAGGGAGAAGGTTAGCTACTAGCTATTCTGCCTCTCTGAGTGAGCAGAATTCTATATAAGTTCCCTTAGTAGCTTTGAAAGAGTCGGTGCCTGGGGGAACAGAATCCCCTCAGGCTGCAGCCCTTGCCTTGAAGCCCTTGCTTAAGGGGCAGCCACTGTAGACAATAAAAAACAGACGACAACGGAGATGCAGATGAGTGTGCAGAGCAAGGCCTGCCAGCTGAGCACTTGGGACAGCAGGCAGGCAGACTTTATTGGCTTTCTCCAGCGCCCTGTGGGCTGCCTTGGGCTGTAGACACTGGGTATGGAAGATGGGGTGGGGACAAGGCTGCTGGGATCAGAAGGGATATGACTGTCTGGTCACTCAGTAAATGACAGATGTCTTCCGACTTGATTCCACTGTCTGCTTCAGGATGGTGCGGCAGCAGGAGCCAGAACCAGAACTGAAGCCAGAGCCAGACACAGAGCAGGAACCCATGCTGGGACTACACTCAGATCCCTGGGGGATATCAAAGCCACCAGTTACGATGCTAGAGCAGCCTCCAGACCCAAAGCCGCCTTTCCAGCCTCTGAGTCCACAAGTGCCCACTTGACCATCACCAACTCCGGGCATGACCATTTGGCCTCTACAATCTCCTCCAGGCATGACCATTTGGCCTCT